ATTAAACTCTGTAGAAGAGTGGAAAAAAATATATACAGTTGTATTGTAACCAAACATTCAGTTGTGGATTTGAAAATTTCCTTTGCGTTGCCGACTCAGGTTGTTTTCCAGCACACATGGTGGGGAAATTTTCAGGATGTAACCCCCATTCTTCTTCTTGACTGAATTTAAGCACAACCACAGCCTCCAGGATGAGTTTTTAGTCCAAAAGCAGCTAAATCTTCATATTTACTGTACATACAGAGGATCTATGAAACAACTATAGTTGACAATGTAACCAAACATGCAGATATTTTTTTTACAAAAGTCAAAAGAATGACGAGTATCTTGTCTCAACTTCTGAAATAATTAGAAACTCAGCTGCAGACATTTTTGTGTTTGTGAGCCATGTATGTGCACCAAACATGGTGGACATACACCATAACAGAAGAATGAGTTAACACACTGAAAGATAAGTAGCTTTACAATGTGTCACTTTAATTCTGAAAGCTTAACCGTTTATAAAAGCATTCTCTGCATTTATTGTCTAACAATCATTAAATGCATATAGAAAACCATTAAACAGTGTCTGTCACACCCTGGCTTTAAATCTGGTGCATCAATCTGCTCCTCAGTAAATGCCAAACTTTTCAACAGTAAAAATCCCAAGTGTTACTGCAGGTTGTGTGTTTCCACTGCAGAAGAGCGAGCAGCACATATTCCTCCATCCTTTCGTTACAAATCACGATGCATAACTGCCATTAGCAGGACTGACCAGAGGCAAAATAAACAGAACAATAGCACTCATTCTGCTCATTAACTCCTCTCATGGATGCAGCTTCATTAACAGCATCAGCTGCTGAAAGCCCTGACTGGTGTTTACGTTTGGATGAAGTAGATCTTTTAGAAAGGATGAGGGTTACGTCTGGTTGAAACTTCACCTCTAGATGCCATTGACTCCATAATCCTGTTTGTCTAAAATGCATCAGTTTGATGTTTAGACTAAATGCATGTAAGCTTTCAAAAGCTGTTTCTCTGTTTTCAGCATGAATCGCCCGCCTTCTTTACATCTCAGAATTTTTGACCTTCAGCTGTAATCGACTCACAACTCTTTAAAAGACAAAACATGACCAAAAGCAGCATTTGCAATCAATATTGCACCTCTGTCAACAAACAGTGTTATTTTTTCCCTGTCAATATTCTGCAGCAAAAGTTTGAATACCTGTGGTTAAGATACGAGGAAAGGCTAAACTCTGTCTCTTTTTAAGATGCAGCACTGAAATATGTCATGTTGGTAGCTGAGAGTCACAGTCCAAGTGCTAAGAGACTGACTGTTGTTTAAAACTTTTCTGTTAATTAATAAAACTTAGAGACATGCAGATGGATTTTAATAGAGCCATCTGAAAAAAAACTTGCAATTCATCAAAGTTTGGAGTCGATCCAATTTAAGATGGCCACCATAACCAGTCGAACTTAGAAACGGGAAAGATGGCAATACAACAATTGTACATATATTCAGCAAGAATTATTAAAAGCTGAAAGTCAGTAACAAGCACCGTCATGGCTGCTCTCGTGGTCTGCCTGTATCTGTCCTGTCTATATGTGTGTGTGTAATCCTGGTCAGGCTGTACTGTGGAGTCAAGTTCCTATGCTCTGGAGCGCTGGCAATAAAATTCATTCTGATTCTGATTCTGATTCTGAAGGCATACTCCAAGTACTAAAAGGTTGCGCAAGATCTTGTGATCTTTAGATTTCACCAAAAATGGCTTTGTAGCCATTATTTGTCCATTTAGGGTCATTTAGGGTCATTTGATACTCTGTCCTGAAAAAGGCAGATGATGTGCATCTCTGTTTCTAACATACTGCATACTGAGATTAAGTCTGATTATGTATTTTCATCATAAATTATGTTAATAATAGTTTTTGCATTCACAAACTCATTTTCTAATTTGAATAATTTACCCCCTTATGAGTACGAGTGTTTCTATCTGCTAGTGGTGAAGATCCAGGAAAATGTTCTTTTAGGTTCCTCTTTGAAGGTGGTTTTAGAGACCGTTTTGCAGCATTTGACACCATCTCATCCCATTGCAATGATACATAAACAGGTTTGTCGCACAAAGATGGAAGACATTAACTAAAAGTATTTGCTGACATGCTGGGAATGTACTTTTAACATGATTTAAAGCTTATTATCTATTTCAAACATGAACAGTCAGAAACATATAGGTGCATATATACCGTAATTTCCGGACTATAGAGCACACCTCAGTATAAGCCGCACTGGGCTAAAAGCCGCAGATATCTACTGAATTGAAAACTTAGTTTAACAGAACATAGCTGAACTGATCAGCATCAAACAAAACAGAAAAGTTATTGATTAGTTTATCCATCGTCCTCCTGCGCACTGAAACCACTGAAGTCATCTTCAGTGTCGGAGTTGAACAGCCTCAGAAGAGCTTCGTCACATACCTTTTCTGTGGCAATGTCAGTATCGCTGTCCGTGTTGCTGTCATCATCCCGGGTGAAGCTGGGAAAACAAGCAGCAACATTTTACTGTGAAAAAAATCCTCCTGGGCGCTTTCCGTAGTACTCCTTTAACCATTCCTTCATTAGACTTTCCAGCATCCATCCTTTCTGCTTGACTAAAGCCGCACCTCATTATAAGCCGCATGGTTCAAAGCGTGGGAAAAAGTAGCGGCTTAAAGTCTGGAAAATACGGTACATCAAAGATTTACCTCTTCACTCGTCAGTGACGAAAGGGAGTCTGATGTGTTATTTTGCTGTAGGTTGAATGAAATGATGAAGTACACATTCGAAAATCGCATCCCCAGGGATTTTGACCCTAATGGCCATCTGTTGGTAAGGTCAGGGCCGTGATATACTTGCTGCTGCACAGTTCTGCACTGCACGTAGTACTGGAGTGTTCCACTAGGGCCGCACTAAACTACTCAGACCAGACAGAGAGCCGGGTTTGTGGGTACAACCAAAACAAACATGGTGTCAGTAGAAAAGATCAGTAACTGGTTAATTTTGAGTTCATTACAGAAAAAGAGACAGCTGCCAGTGGCGTGTCCAGATCTTTTAAAATTGGGTGGCCCATTTGAGGCACTACTTGTGCATGGGTGGCACCAATGGTTATGCTTTAATTTTTTTTTACCTCAAGCCTTTGGTGGCCAATGAAAAGCCCATTTAAAGGGAATTCAGTGTGGTGGCACCTGGGGTGGCCAATCAGATTCCAAGGGTGGCATTTGCTACCCCAGGCCACTCCCTGGACACGCCCCTGACAGCTGCAGTACCGTATGGTATGAAAGTCCTCTGATCCAGAGACGGAGTCACCATGGTGTGTCTCACTCGTTTGGTCAACTCCACCTACTGGGTACTCGCATATTGCAGCTCTTGGATGCATCACGTTGATTTTGGGGAACGTGCACAAACAATGATTCGAATCAATACAAGTAACGCATGGCAGCTATTGCAAACACATGTTTGCGTCATCAAACAGCAAGTATATCACGGCTCTTACTCAAACACAAAAATGCTGTGTGCTTGCAATGATTCAGGTATGTACTGACCCCTATTTCCAGGAAAAATACACACTGCAGGGCTGCCAACTTTTGAACATTGAAATGTGAGAGCTGGGGTTGATTAATCAGCATGACACATTGGAGGTGTGGCGTGAGAGTGTGTGAAGAGGGTCAAATACGTGTCTCACACTCAATGCATGAGAGTTGGCAGCCCTGACACAGTCACTTTAAAGCCGGGCGTACACTGTGTGACTTTTTCACTTTTTTGAGCTGATTTTCCAGTCGTGCGAGAATCCACGAGATCGGGGCGAGTTTTGCGCTGAGCGTCATGTAGTGTACAGGGGGTTACGAGAGGCGATTAACACCACGTGACCAGCTACCGATCAGCAGTCGTGAGCTCGCACAGACTTCTGGCGTGTTTGATATTTTGCTCGTCCCTCGTGAGGGTATCGCACTGTTGAAGCAGCGCTGCGAGCAGCTGCGACCAAAAAAGTATCAGAACCGCTCACGGCGCATGTGCAATCCTGCATCAACGCCGCTCGCTATTTCCCTAATAACACACGTTGTTCGTTTTTATTTCGACACATTTTTTTACTCACAAAGATTGTCAAGAAAGTGTGTTTGTCGTGTTCATGTCAAATTAAACTGATCACAAAACACAGATTTACTTTCTTTATTTCGTTTTCCTCATCCAACCCCAATAAATCCCTGTGTGTCCTCCTGCAGCACTCCCGGAGGACAACAGGCAAAACAAGACAAAAAAGTCTGACGTGTTGAGTAAAAAATGCTATTTTTAGCATATTTTTAGGGCCGACTTGTTGCTACCAGATGTACAGTGTGAGCAGTCAGGTCGCATGCGAGAACTGGGTCGTGCAGTGTGAGCGCATGACTCGTGAGATCTGCCCTGCGAGGAAGTCGCACAGTTTGAGCTGAAGCTGAGTGCTACGAGTGAAAAAGTCGCACAGTGTACGCCCGGCTTAACTCAAGTACTGGAGCATAAGGTTTTCATCTGGACTTTGAAAGCTTAGTTGTGACTTTTCTCTTTTTCAGCTATTTTATTGACATTTGACTGAAATTTCTAATTTTGTGTGGGTGTGTGAATGGGTGAATGCCTGGTTGTTTTGTAAAGTGCCTTGGGGAGTTGTAGAGCTCTAGAACATACATGAAGTCCATTTACCTTTATTTATCTATAATTAAGACACTTGGACCAAACCACTACAATCTACTAAGCCGTTTTGAGTGCTATCTTGACACTGGAAGTATAAAAATGGGTTTAATACTGTTTTTTTAATCCAACGTGTGTGAACACTGATGTCCAACAGAACGGTGACATGATGTTAGGCAGGACAACAATTCTCACAGAGAAACATGCACAACTTTGCAAGAGTGCAGCACCGAACGAACAGGAAACTGCCTTCCCTCCTCCCCCCACCCACCCAGCGCTCTTCCCCCTCCTCCCCATCCCCTTCCTCCCGCCCTCCAGCACCACGCTATAGCGGCGAACCAGGCAGGCCAACTTGCAGAGTGCAGCTCAGCCTCGACAGCGGCTGCTTCCAACAGGGGGGTCCTCGGAGAGCATCGCACTCCCATGTGCGCTTCTGTGCCCGCTGGATGTTGAAATCGCGCCGTGCGCCTCGCCAGGAGCCACCATGTCCAACCCAACTCACGACCCGTTCTACTCTTCTCCGTTCGGACCTTTCTACAGGAGACACTCGCCCTACATGGTTCAGCCCGAGTATCGGATCTACGAGATGAACAAGCGGCTGCAGGCGCGCACAGAGGTGAGCCTCGGAACCACCACACGGTCCCTGTTTTGCTATTTTAAAAAGGTTAAGTCGCGGTGCCCGGTATGGGGAAGGCGCGTTTGGGAAGGTCCGGTGCGAAAACGAGGGAGGGGAACGCTGGGGTAAGGCTGGAGAGGAAGATGAGCTGTGGAGGTCCATCAGTCAGGAGATACGGAGGCGAAAGTGTCAAACATTCCTGAGGTGAAAGTAAACAGGCATTTGGGAAGTCTGAAAAACCCACCTGAGAAGTGATGTTGGAGTAAAAAGTTGCAGATTTACTTTTATTGGAGGAAGATGATATTGATGAGAAGGAGCCAATTAACCTGCGCGTGACAGAAGTGTCACCTGAGCGCTACCTGAAGCGTGACAGCCCGGAAACTAAACAGCACGAATCAGATGTTTTTGATTCAGATCTTTTATAATGACAGAAATATAATAACGCAACATGCATTAGTCGTGTCATTCTAAAACCTCAAAAAGAAGTTTAAAAAGGTCAAAAAGACTGTAAAAGTGGGCAGTAGCACAGTCTCATGCAAAGTAACTTTTACTCTTCATATAATGTATTTGCATATATTTACATATTCCCTCCGTTTTAAACATATTTACATTCTGCCTTGGCTCTCTTAAAAAGCATCAGCAGCTCAACAAGAAAGTAGAGTTCCCTCTTCATCAGCTGCAAAGGAAACTTCCTCATTCAAAGTGTGTGATTGCACGAGGATGAATTAATTTCATGTAAGTTTGCTGATGCTTCAACTCACTGCGCGCTAAGCGTGTGTGGCGTTCAGTGTCAACCAGACCGAACCTTTGGTGATCCCACTGTGAGCTGCATGTCGAGCATCTGCCTTCAGCAGCTGTTCCGTGATCACAAATCTGCAGATAAAAGTTCATCTGACGCGTCACGTTCTGCTCCCAAAGGGAAGAGCGAAGGCAACGTAAATGCAATGGAAAGCATGTTTTTGCAGCTCTGTTGTGAATGTATGATATAAATGTTTATAATAACTGATCATTTGACTGATTAGTTTTAGAGTGTCTAGAATAGGTGAAAAAAAGCATCTGTTGATTTAAAAAGGCCACTATTCACCATGGCCACTTTAATTAGTCAAAGATTTGATATACAATATCTTAATTTTCAAGCTGATGATGAACAAAATTAAATGTTTTGTCTTCAGTTATTCGAGAAAAATCTAAATTTTCCTTCATGTTAACATTCATAACAATCATTCAACATTCCTCAGAATCGGATCATTTGTCTGACTTGGCAACCAAAATCTAAAAATGTTCTATTTGCTTTTACCAAAGAGAAAAATAAAACCTAGAATTTATATATTTTAATAGTTTTTAATTTAAAAGTTTTGTTTTAGTAAATTAAACTAATTAAGAACTAATTTGCATACATCTTTCCATACTAAAATAGGCATCCTTAAGAAACAAATAACCTTTCTAACATTTTGAAATGTTTAAGCTGAAGCCGAGTTTCCCTGAAGCAGATATTGGCGTTTTTGCTGTTATTTCAAACATCTTTAATAGCAGCTGAGTTACTGCAGCCTCCTGCAGAATGATGCTGACTTTCCTTAAGAGGAACTTGCAACTTTAAGCAGACCGACCAAGGCAATGCTGCTGAGATGCAGCAGCCTCAGTCTGATGCATTATTCATTCGGAGCCCCAGTGGACCTCAACTCCTGTAGCACACATATCCACACACCAAGAGCAATCACTAACGCACACACACGCATAAATGCATGTATGTACTTGTGCAGCCATGTTGCAACCAAGACACACAACAGTTTTAACCTTCACCTTCTTAGACAAAAACGATCATAAAACAGTCATTTATTCCTGTTACTGTATTTAAAATCTCTTTTTCTTTCCTTTTTCAGCAGTCAGGGTGTGTTATATGTCTCCTCAGCGATATATTGTTAGATTAAAATACAGACAGAGATTAAACTACTGTAACAAGGGAGGAGTTGTGTCTTATAGCTGGAAGATAAACAAGCATTTGCAGTTTGTTTGAATCCAGATGTGCCTTATAACCCAAATCACGCTTCTAAAGAAAATTGTATAGTAATTATCCTCACTAAGGCAAAACCACGTCAACTCACTTAAAAATGCATTTGGTGAAAAATAATGTTAAAAGGATCTCCCTCAACAAATATGAAGCCCAGCGTCAACAGAGGGAAGGAGAATCTGAAACTTTCCTGATGAAGCAGGCTTGTGGTTGTTTACTTCCTGTGAAGCGTTGTTAGCTGCAGGTCCCTTAATGATGATGCATTTATGAAGAATCATTCTGCAGCCTCTTTTGTCACCGTGCTGCTGCTGCTGCTGCTGCTCAGACCATCTCTAAGACAAGAAGTCAGGACAAGATGCAGGGTCGTGCAGGTGGTTTTACAAAACACAACGTTTGCAGTCATTTTTCTGTGATTATAAGAATCTCAGACTTTTTAAGAAAAAATATCACCATTGTTCTGTTTGTTGATCTATAAATAGGCTGCACTTCTGAGTTTGAATAGAACGTAATTTCATTGTTATCCTTATTCTTGTCTTTTTAGCTACATATGTTTTTTTTCTCTCACCTGATTTCAACTTATCATGTAAAAAATTTTCCACTTTTTTCAGAAAAAACACCAATTTAAGTGATGTGTATCGGTTACATGAGCCATGATGGATGGCTAAAAATGTTTTTAAAAAACATTTTTCTATTCCAAACCAAACTAATTATCTTCCAACATTTGAACCCATGCATTGACTTTGTCTGTGGTAATAAACACTGTAATAAAACTTGTGTAATTGAGTCGCAAGTAGCCTCAGTATAACAAATGCCATTGAAATCACTGCACAATTCAATTCTTCACCATTCATCCTGACATTATATATGTGGAAACCTCAAAGAGAGATTATGGTTAACATAAAAAACATATTGTTGACCAATGTCATCATTTTGAGACACATTTCTAATTAAATATTTAATATTTAAGAAAAAAAATAAATATATAGTTGAGAAACATGAATTGTTTATAATAACCCGTGTATGTAATGGAACCATATCTTTACATGGTTTTAGAAGCAATGACTGGTTTGAATTAAGTAATCATGGATGTAATAGTGAGTTCATGCTGGATTTTAATGACATTATTTTTGTAAAGAGGTTTGGTTTAGTTTGTTAAAATAGTATGAAGGATTTTACTTGTGCAAACAGCTTAATGCCGTAACGGCTGTAAGAAAAGCTCTGAGCAGACTCAACGTCAGGCATTCTGGCACACCGCAGAGGAAAAATGACTCAGAATGATTTGCTTTCCTGTCGTTTTACGTTGGTTTTTAATGGGGAACCTTACTATGGCTCATTCTGGCACAACCTTTTGGTGGTGTGCTCAAGGACTCGACTGAAGTCAGGCCAATGATTGAAATTCCCACAATTGTCCTGTTCATGTGTGGGCCTTTTAATACTTGGTGCAAAGTGGTGCTCCTGCTGACTGGATGGTTGGATGAGAGTTTCGTACTAACACAAGGAACTGTTGCATGGATGAAAAAAAAATGTTGGTGAAAGAAGAAAATAGTTAATAAGATGCTAATTCATCAATTGACTACTTTTTGATCGCTTGCGTTTGAATAGAAACTTTAAAGCAGGGCGTTTTTGTGTCAAATGTTTGTCTCCTGAATGTTTATAAAATAGAGAAATTTTAGGTTAACCAGAATAAACTGATGCTGAGTTTCATATTCACACTTCTTGTAATATATTTATTTAAACCCATATTATGCAGCACTTATGTTATAGGTGTCTAAGTTGTATTACTAGGATAGGGAGATTTTATTGTGTTTGTGTAAATAAACATTAGTCTGCTCATGATAAGATTTAGATAAAACTGGAGGAATTGTAACACAACAGACAAGCTACAATCACAACGGATGCTCAAAAAAAGGAAATCAGTTTAAACATTTTGTGTTATTTGAAGATTTCTGCCCCAAAGTGCAACTTAATGGTCAAAGATGGTCCAAGATGGCGCCGTCTGTTGTGGCTTGCCGTCTGGTTTACCGTTTGCCGTTTGTGCTTTTTGTGCTTTTGTCACTGTTTTTGAGTCTCCCGGTGGCTGATTCCTGTCCCACCCTCACCTATGACCGAGCTACTCTTCTGGATCTCCGGCAGAGGTTCGAGTCTCTCCAACTTCACTATGCCTCATTCAAGCAATCGTTTGGGAGCCTGTTTGATGGAGTTCCGCCCTTCCTCCTCTCCTTCGCCTGCAGCCTGGTGAGGCCGCGGTGGAAGCGGCAGCGATGCGGCAGGCGGCAGGCGTAGTGGCGCTCATGGCCAGCTCCGAGGTTCCTGGATGTGCCAGTCCAGTGGCAACGTTTCTTCTGGGGTTTGGGTCTGGTTGCCTGATGATTCATCGGAACACAACATCCAGTTTCTCCGCAGGCATGACAGCGATCCTGTCAGCTGGGGATCTTAACGGAGGCGTCGTATTGGCGGGGTAAACTGGAGGAATCTTACCTATCCTGTGAGGTCCGGCGAAGAGCGTCCTCGCCCTTGTTTGTCCTCAACTTCCTCGTCTCCTCTCAGGATTGCTCCACTCAATGTTCGTTCGCTGGGGAATAAAACAATGCTTTTAAAGGATTTTTTTTTTGTTCTGCATGACGGAGACGTGGGTCCCACCGGGTGAATCAGCGACACTTGCTGAACTTTGTCCGTCAAATTGTTCTGTTGTGAATGAGCCCAGACTGTCGGGTCGAGGTGGGGGCCTATTGACTATGTACTCGTCCTCCCTCCCCCTCAAGCGCCTCCCGGGCTCATCAACCCCACCAGCTTCGAGGTTTCTGTTTTTGAACTCAGTCTCTCCCCTCCAATTCTTTTTATTCTGTGTTACCGACCACCAAAATATAACTCTGCTTTTATTACGGACTTTTCTGACCTTTTAGCTGAATATCTCCCCAGGTACGATCAAGGTATTATCCTTGGTGATTTTAATATTCACGTTTGTTGTCTGTCGAATCCTCTGGTGAGAGAT